AGGGGCTCTCTCCTGCCACATTCAAATATTCAAACTAGCTGGCGTATGATGTTTTATACAGATAAATATCCAAACTACCATTTTGAGGTATACGGAATTAACTGGGATGCTTGGAGATACAAACACATTTTATCAACTCTGCAGAGAACTTCATATGAGAGACAGCTAAGTGGAGTGCCATCAGGAATATAGCAGATACAGTGAGATAATAAACTAAGAATCTAATCTGTACGTAGCTTGATGCAACATAGTGTGACAGAGTACATTACTACTGGAATTATTCCAGAGCTGCTGTTTGCAGCAACTGTGCTTCTGACAGACAGCTGTGTGAACAGGCAACAATATTCTGCAAATGCAGATTGATTTTTAAATTCATTTCCTTCTGCCATGTTTTCCTCTTATGCGTTCTCCCTCTTCTAACATCTTTGCTGTTGAGTTTTTATGTAATGCAGATTTTTGAAGACAGCAATTTTCAAAGCTCCATCACTGCTATTAAAAACAGAATTTTAAATATGCGTACAAGTATTTACATCAGAACTGCTTGCTTACCCATTATAATCAGGGAGCAAGAAGCAACACCATGTGCCTTATTTGACCAGTCACAATTAAGCAACAAATAAAATATCCACAAACATGGATTTCCTATCAACCCATACACTAGTTGGGTAAAGAATCTATTAAACTTTGATCAAATACTCTCATAACTTATTCTGCCCAAACAAGAGGCTTACATTCATTATATTTTTTTCTTTACAAACTAGTTATTGCCATAAAGCCCACAGGCCATGGAAGATGATCCATTCCTTTATAAGACTGATAAATCTTTTTCATATATATGAAATTACTATAAGCTCATCATTCTTATTTTGCCAAAATACCAAACTAGATTAAATCAGGGGGAAGGAGGGGAGGAAGATGAAGCGGGCTTTGTTTGTTTTTTTCTGAATCAAACATACATGTTGGCAAATTCTCTGGAAATAAAGGAGTTATTATATCACATAACAAGTGGAGCTGAAATTAATTGACCTACATGTCATATTTAGCCTCAGTTTTCAGTTAAACAGACCCTAAATGGTTTCTTGGCTTTACTCAACTTTGTGCCAAATAGATCAGCAGAGTATGAAACTGAATATATTCCAAAAGCTACAGCACACTTATTGTAGTGCACATGTTTTGTAGTGTGAGCATTTAAAACTTCATCCCCAGCCTCTAAACATAGATAGTTCCCCAGTTCTGAAAGCACTGTACAGAGAACAGCTTTAGCTTCTAGTGTGGATACTGAGCCACACTAGCAGATTAATAGTCATCTTTTCTGAGCCACTGAAAGCTTGAATCTCAAAATATCCTACTTGTAAATGTAAAAAGCTCTACTGTTTCATGTTGTTGATGTTTTTGCTTACCATGTCTGGAGTTGCCTGGCCATATTGGAGAATCAGTGGCATCTTCCAACAGTTGAGAGAACTTTCTTTTTTTGGTTGATGCCAGAGAAATACTTGAGAAGAAAGAAAGAAATACATAGTGCACAATTCACTTGAACTTAAACTTGAATATCACAGAATAATTATATCCTGATATTCCTAACCAAATTTTCACTGAGAATATGGCCATATCACCATTGCGTTATATCGGAAGCCACTGACTGGTATAGCTGCCTCCATGCCAACAGCTCTCATCCTAAGCACACCACTAGAACCATCATCTGTAGCCAAGCTCTGCATTATAACTTTTTCTGCTCTGATCCCACTGACCACCTTCAATTCTAGAACAGGGATTGCTATTCCTATGATACAACCTAGGACGATAGCCAGTCAAATCAACAGAGTCAGAATCAGACCACCTCAATCC